ATATATATATATACGTATAAATTGTATAGCTAAGAACAGAAAACTAAGGCTACAATTCACACAGGCTCACCAAAATTGGACAATAGAAGATTGGAAAAGTGTTGCCTGGTCTGATGAGTCTTAATTTATGCAGCAACATTCGGATGTTAGGGTCAGAATTTGATGTCAACAACATGAAAGCATGGATTCATCCCGCCTTGTATCAAAGGTTCAGGCTGCTGGTGGTGTAATGGTGTGGAAGATATTTCCTGGCACACTTTGGGTCCATTAGTACCAATTGAGCATTGTGTCAACACTACCTGATACACAAAACTGAGTACAACTACCAGAGTATTGTTGCTGACCATGTCCATCCCTTTATGACCACAGTGTAACCATCTTCTGATGACTACTTCCAGCAGGATAACACACCATATCATAAAGAGTAAATTGTTTCAGACTGGTTTCTTCAACATGACAATGAGTTCAATGGCCTCCACAGTCACCAGATCTCAGTCCAAATAGAGCACCTTTGGGATGTGGTGGAATGGGAGATTTACATCATGCATGTACAGCCGACAAATCTGCAGCAACTGTGTGATGATATCATGTCTATATGGACCAGACTCTCTGAGTAATGTTTCCAGTACCTTGTTGAATCTATGCCACAAAGGATTAAGGCAGTTTTAAAGGCAAAAGGGGGTCCAACCTGGTACCAGCAAGGTGTACCTAATAAAGTGGCTAGTGAGTATATATATGTGTGTATATATAGATGTTCTTCTGCTGTATAGTGTCATTGGGTGTCCTGAAAGGCACTTTGCAAATAAAGTGATTATTATTATATACTGTAAGTCTAACCAAAAATTTCACTAACCCCCTGCAGTAACTCCACAGACCTACAGGGGCACAAAACCCTTTTGTTGAATACTTCAGCTCTACATAAGGATAAACTTTCTATTTCCAGGAAAAGGAAATCGTTTAACCAACCCACTCAGTTAAATCACCTTTGCATCAATGACAGCCTCAAGCCCTTACAGATTTCATTCTACACATCTGACACATTTAAAAAAAAACATTTCTTCCAATTTCTTAACCAGTAGTCACTTTGGATGGGAAGCATCATTTTTAAATCCAGAATCTGACTAGGTTTGACTGTTTTCCTTCTCATTCTTGCAAACTGCTGTATTGTGTTGTTTTTGTTATAATGCTCTGTACAAGTGTTTTAACTCAGGATAGCTTCCAGTTCTTGTGGCAAAAAAAATTGAATTAACAGCATGATGTTTGGTAGGTGAAATAAAGTGCTTGGCTTCCTACACACTAGCAACTGGGAATTGTGGCCATATAATAACTGAAAACTTTCTATGTACTTCTTTTGTACTTCTGATAGCAAACTTATTTCAACTGAAAAGGTCAATCCAAACCTCATAAAACATGCTGCTGAGTTTAATGGGCTGATTAAATTTGGGACGAGAAAGCTTTGTGATTGTCGCGGCAAAGATAGTCAGAAACACGGCGAAGAGGTGTTAAAAAGACAAATGGTCTGCTGGGTATGATAATAAAGTCATTTATTGATGGGCAGACATGAAACAGAAAGCAATCACGAAGATGAAACAGAAAGCAATCACGAAGTCTGTAAGATGTGGGCCCGCCGTCATAGGCCGGGCAAACAA